GAAACGCAGCCGAAATGCATACCCGACTGGCGGTCCGGCCCGACGCAACAGTCTTCAATGACCGTTCTACACAGGCGTGCCATCAGCATGCTGTCCCGGTGGCGATAGAAGAGACGGAAGTAGGGATTCAACTCTGCATCCTCGTTAGCGGCCACACAGGCCTTGTAGAGTTCCAGAGCATCTGGGAAGAGGAGAAGAAGGAGGAAAGCAAAAAGACAGAAAAAAGGCTTTTGGAAAAAAAAGCGGGTAACTCCTGCAGACACAAATATGTGCGTGGATGGGGTTGGGTGAATACGTGCAGTCAGAAACAGCCGTAACATAAGGTCTGCTAAGTCTGAATGCAATATCTGGGCCACTGCGGACGCATCAACCGTCCTTACAAAAATGGCCCCCTTCTGGAAGATTGAAAGGGCAGCTTTCAGTAAGTTGCAAACACGGTAAACACCAGTTTGGTAGGCAAGGCCTCTGGATACCCTGGGTCATCCAGCTGAAAAAATATGGATTATGACGTCAGAAAGCTGTTTTACTGAAGCTAGCATTATGCTCATGCATAGAAGTGGTGCGACATCGTCCATGGCTAAAGGATGACAGGGTAATAGAGACTATTCCTGACAGAGCGATCATGTGCAACGTGGGCAGGCGTAAATAAAAAGTTGTGCTTACAGGGAGAGCAATTACGTAGAGCGGTCTACTGGTGTCCCGGTTGTCCTTGTTAGTATATTAAGCTCTGTCAAGGCGTTGGGATTAATAAGATTAAACCCTAGCAGCTGCGATATTCAGGCTCAGTTCCTTAGGAGACGAGAGAACATGGGAGACTAGAGTGGAAAGAATAGTCTATTCTACACAGGACTGGGAGAATAGGTATGAGAAATATGATTGTCGGAGGATCGAGCAACCGTCGCGCCACGTCTGAAGTTATCAGAGCGTAGGGGATTGCCGGAAGCCCAGCGCATCCTTTGTTCCTGTTGTCAATCAGTAAATGGTGCATTCTGGTTCGCTCGAGTTCTGACGGGGTCTAACGCCAAGATTCGCGGTAGTGGCTCGATCGTGAGACGTTTGGCGGGGGCGGCAAGGCTTGCAGGTGAGGGCGTGATGAATCAACGTGTGGCGAACAGTCACGGGTTCCAGTCATGGGTTCCAATTGGCGCTAGCGGCCACTATAACTCTATTAGATGTCGGACGATATCCACCACATCGGCTCGCAAGCAGGAAGAGTGAAAACAAGCTAACCGGTCGGCTTTAGTAGCTAGAGAACATACCCGGCAAAAGGTGTACTGCATGCAACGGCGAGAGTGGACGCATGAGAACATTATATAATAGTGCAATTGATATAGTACCTCTTGGGTGCCGTGAAAGACCTTGGAAGACAGTAAAAACACCTAAAACAAACTCCTCCTTTTTGTAGTTTTGTTTTGGTTTTAAGCATACTCAATCGTATGCAGAATATGGAGTTGGTCGTAGGTAAAAAACTGTCTTAAAAGCTATGTTAATAGCAAAATCTGAAATAAAAAAGCTGTACATTAAAGGAATTAATGTTCCCCTGTCTTCTGATTTGAGAGGGCTCAAGATGTTGACTATCTTAAATCAACACAGTTTACATAATTAGACACTCTTTTTGGAAGCTACTCATGCCGGGCACAACAATGCAACCCTTTTGTGGATCTCGACTCCCTCTACTGCAAAGAGTAACTTGAAGGTCTAAAAAATACACAGAGCCACACTAAGACTGGAAACACAGTTA